TCTTTATCTTTATCTTTATCTTTATCTTTATCTTTATCTTTATCTTTGACAACGATAAAGAGTCTATATCTTTGAATTTTCCTTTGTCATTGTGTCTCCATGTCCCGGTAGCGGTAAACGCAGCTGTTCGTTTTCTGTCCACGTATTGGCCATATACCGCCTTCAAGTGGTGTTAAGTATTTAATATTAATTTTAAAAATTATGCGAATCTCCAGCTTAAGTAAGTATGCAAACTTTTAATTACCATCTAATTTTCAGTTACCTCATTTCCATCCTGCGTAACATCATTCGAGATGGTTGGTGAGTGTATACCAGTACAGAATTGCAGCGTTATGATGAATATAGTATTAAAAGTCAATCCAACACAAGCTGAAATAGTTTTGTTGCGAGCTAATCAATGTGGATATGACAACAAAGTTCCTTTGGTAAGTGATTGTTGAAAACTTTTCTTAAGTGGAAACTTGATTAACTAATCAAAATAACTATTAGATATGTTGCCCAAAGCTGGAAGTACCACTAGCGCAAGCAGAAACAACCACAACCAAAATTGAAATTGGAACAGAAAATGGAACTGGAATTGAAGGTAATAAAAATACTTCAAAGTCCAATTTCACATTTGTAACGAAATTTACTTTCAGTCCCCGCCAATGAAACATGCGTAACTCCAAATGGCGCACTTGGTGACTGTATAGCTTTGGAAAATTGCAATTCTTTATTAAAACTTCATCAAAAAGAAAGCCTAACCCAAGAAGAGTTACAATATTTAGCAGAATGCGAATGTGAGAGCCCAAATTCAGAGGAAGTGAGAGTAAGTACTGCTTACTCAAAGAGTTGTTTCTTACTTGTTTGGTATTTTGTGTGTATTGGAAAGGTATGCATACACTAAGTACAAAGAAATAGTTGAAATTCTTAAAATTTTTAGTTCCTATAATATTTATTCAGACCACTAGATATTAAAATACTAGTTTGATTCTAACCGGAATACTGGACAATTGATCACTTGATTGCCAGTATTTGAGCAACGCGTGACGATTTCTGTAGAGCTGTAAAGATGAGGTCCATCAAGCTATTTCAACGCGCGTGCCACGCATTATAGAAAAAGCGGCCCAATTGTTCGAAAACTTCACTAAGGTTTAAGGACATAAGTATGTACAGAGAGAGGTGTGGGTAAATCCTCTACTAGGCATCACCATGGGCTTGTGTGGTATCCGAGTGAACTGTTTAACTAAAGCTGTTCGTCTAGCTTTACCTTGATTGAGCTACCGCTTTTTGGTGTTCACACTCCGTCAGCTGCTCGATTAGCGATGTGCTAAACGATATCTAGAACAATAACACCACTTTAGGTACATTAGGAACGTAGCAAAATAACATTTCAGGAAATAAATTCTTATTTTTATTTACATTTCAACAATATTTTGGTTAGGGAAACTTGTTTAGCCTCCATTCTTTGAGGTGGCGGAAACAAATGATACCAACTGGTGGTTAAAGAAACGCAACTGTAGTTCATTTTACCAGAGAGATATAATCTTCAGATCGAAGAACGTGGAGGAGAGTGATTCTCCTTTTCTAAAACATTGTTTTGTCTTTTTACAGCCAAATGAGTTTAATATGATTTAAAAAGTGAATACGTTATCGGTTTTTTTTAATATATACACCTCAAAATACATACCTATTTATATTTAAGAAACATTTACCTACCTAAATTTAGACAAAATGCCTGATAAAAATGGGGTACACCTTGGAAATTTCGGTTTCCATCCCTAATAGGTTATCAGGTTCTGGCAAATACCTGTCATCGAAAGACTAATTGAACGATCTGCTAGCGAGGAGGCCTTGGCGTTATTCTGTTTGCCTTGTGGCAAAACGCATACTTAAAAACTAAAATTTAAAAATAATAAGAAATATGAGAAAATTTAATTAACAACAGAAAAAAATTTATTAAAAGAATAAAAATTAAATAAAAAAAATAAATTTTAAAGAGTAAAATCTAAAGATTTAAAGAAAATTGCATCAAAAGAAAAAAAAAATAAGTATATTTTTCGTTTTAAAATAATAAAATCTAAACACTAAAAGAGCAAAAACAATAAAATTAAAAAAAAATATCAATATAAAATCAGTTTCTCAAAATTAAAATAAAAATGTTTTCTTTACAGACAATAACATAAAAAATTACAAAAATAAATATTTTATAAAAAACGGGGAAAAAATAAAATAAGTTTCTAAAAATTATGTGAAATTGAAAGAATATAAAAGTAAAGGGAAATTAAATTAAAAGAAAAAATAATAATTAAAAATAAATAAAATAAGTTTCTGAAAACTAAATGAAATTGAGAAAAAAATAATAACCATTAATTACATCAATAAAATCTAAGGCCGTTTTCTCGACAGCCTGTTAAATTTATCATCCCAGTAAACATCGTTATGACTGCTTGTTATTTGCATGCGAACGATAAAGCAGTCGACGCGTTCAGCGGGAAAATAAATTGAACAGGCATCCGAGAAAATGGGCCTAAGTATATAAAAACCAAAGGCAATAAAATTAAAAAAGAACAATAGCGGTATTCTCTGAGTCATCCAAAGCCCTTTCACAGTGAAAGTTGCCAAGAAAGCTTTTTTGTATGACTTTCGTGCCAGCATAAACAAAACAACTTTCACACACACGTATCTTACCTACGGTCTTTCAAAACTTGCAACTATCTTATATGTTACACAGCCAGTGAACAAAATGGCGTAATTGTGTTTAAAACCAAAATTTCTTTATAGGTTTGTTGCCCCAAAACGTTAGAGATAGTGGAAGAAGAGGTGAGAACTACTACAACAGGTACCTTAATATTTTAATCTTGGCTAAGCCTTGGAAATGAGTTTAAATTTTATCTACACTTCAACCAGAAGCTGCTCTGGAGGAGAGAAAATGCGAAACTCCCAATCAAGTGGCTGGTATTTGCTTATCCCTCATTCAGTGCAAATCTTTAATGAAAATAATGCACAAAAATGAGTTTTTCGAGAATGATATGCAATACTTGCGTGCCAGTTTTTGTGCAGATGCAGATAGATTTCCGATGGTAAGTAATAAAGCTGAAAGCTTTCTTATATATATATATGTATTAAAAGTTTACACAATATTTACTAGGTTTGCTGTCCCGATATTTCAATGACTGAAGATACATTCTTACCGCTGCCTCCATATTGCGGAAAAGTATTAGTAGAAAATAATACCGATGATACTGCTACCACAACAACAGATATCGATGAATATCCCTGGACGGCATTGCTCGTCTACACTAATCGTAATTTAGAGATTGTTATTTCAGTAATACCACAATAACAGCTGGTCATTCTCTTTTCTTTCCCGCAGCAAGAGGTCAACTCAGTTTTCCCTGTGGCGGTACGCTAATCCACGAGCATTTTGTGCTCACCGCTGCGCATTGTCTTGAACAGGAAGCTGGTATTAGTAAGTTAACTGGCGTACGCTTGGGTGAATGGGCTACTCAAGTGAGTAAGGATTGTCAAAGTAAAAATGCCGAACACGAACTCTGCGCACCCACACAACATGATGTGGCTGTAGAAAAGTTGATTACTCATCCAAAATACAATTCGACGAATAACGACTTAGCACTGCTGCGCTTAGCTGAAGTAGTTTCATTTACTCGCTTCATTAGTCCGATATGTTTGCTTTTCGGCAGTAGCCACCTTGCGTATCCGTTGGCAGGCACCACTATGTACGTTGCCGGTTGGGGCGCAAAGAGCACGAGTGAAATAAACAGTTTTAAAATGAAGTCTTCTCTTGCGGTGCAAAATTTGACAGCATGCATGATCCAATATTCGACTACGGCTGGGATTAATTTGACTGATCGTCACATCTGCGCAGCTGGTAAAAATGCGGCTGACAGCATCATAGTTGACTCGGGTGGGGCGTTGATGACTTTAGTGGAGATCGGGAAAGTTCAGTCATATTTTTTAGTTGGCGTGAACACACTGAGTTATGAATACTCACTGAGGAGAGGTTTTGCTGGTGTTTATACGCATATTGGCGCCTATCTGGATTGGATAAGAAATGAAATTAAGAACAACTGAATAAAATTCGATATTTTTGAAATTGAAATGGAACTATATTATGCGAAGAAGATGTGCTTTCTGAGAAATTGGACCATTTGTAAAAATACTGCTGAGGACAGCGCTTCTTAAAAATTAATTTATTGAGAGTTTTCTGACGATGCAAATTTTTAATTACAAAGGCATTTAGCCCAAAAAAATTACTATTTTTTATTTCTCATAGTTTTCCTTTTATTAATTAATTAATTTTTATTATTTAATTTGAAGTCAGTTAATTATAGTAATTTAACTGAACTTTTAATATATTTATTTACCTTGTGTCTTACAATTCGTTTCCTTAAATTTCGTTTTATTGCCTTTGAATTCCTCTCACTTGTTTTCCCTTCATTTCCTTCCACTTCACTTCATTTTACTTCATCTCGTATTTGTGTTATTATAACAGGATAATTCTGGCAACTGTTTTTTAACTCACCACAGTCTTTCTAAAAACTATCTTGAAGCTCCTTTCTGTCTTTCGAAAGACTAATTGAAAAATCTGCTGACGAAGAGGTCTTAGCGTTTTACTGTTTGTCTTTAGCAATAAGTTTTCTAAAAGTGAAATGAATAAAATATTTTTCTTTTTAAAACAATACAAACAAAAAGTAGAAAGAAAGTTTAAGTAAGTTTCTAACAGCCAATTCCACGAAAGTAATTTAAGTGAAAATTATTTTAAATTTTTGAATTTTAAATGGAAATTGCCAGAAAATAAAAAGATCATATTCCATTTAAATTGCTGGAGAAAACGGCTGTAAGGGTTAAATTAAATTTTAAATTTATGCTTATTTTCAAAACAATAAAAGCTAAAAATTATACGAAACTTTAATTTAAAAAAAATATAAATAAGTTCCTAAAATTTTAATGAAATTAAAACAAATAAATTTATTTTTAAAATACATAATGTAATCTAAAAGTTAAATTAAAAAAAAATAAAAATAGAAGAAAAGGAAAAATAATATATTTTTTTTAAACTAATTGAAAAAAAAAATATTTTTTTTTTTTTCAAAAATCAATAATCTTGTGTCTTGTTAAGATATTTTTATAAGTTGGCGTCTTTAGTTATTGAAATATCGGAGTTTTCGTATTTCTAAAATTTTTGTTCGATTTCAAAAATTTTTAACATATTGCTTTTTTGCGCCAAGGTTGATAAATGTGCCGAGAAATTGATAAACCGGTTACCGAGATACACATATGTAGGCGTAAGTGGGCCCATTTTCCAAAAAACTCGCTAAGAATCATTTTCTGCTAAGAGGTCATAGCATATATCGATTTTGAGTAAATTAGCTTAAATAGTTACAAATTTATCGCGATTTTCGTATTTCTGTAAATTATCGTTATATGGGAGGTGGGCGCGGTTCTTGTCTGATTTCAACGGGTTCCTTAGTGAGGCCCTTAGCAATGTTTGCACCGAGTTTGGTGGGGGTTGGTAAAGGGACTACAGAGATACAGAATTTCATCATAAGTGGGCGGGGTCCAGACAATTTTTCCAGAATTTTATAACTGTCTTAATTTTTGCCAAAATTCTACTTCGCGTACCAACTTTCAACAACTTGCATATCTAGAAAATACCGTTATATGGGAGGTGGGCGTAGTTATTGTCCGATTTTGCCCATTTTCAATCCCAAATTTTGGATAAAGGGCAACCTACTTACCAAATTTCGTTGACATATTTATCTAAATTTTTTCTCGAGTTATCGTGTACACGGGCGGACGGACAGACAGGCGGACTGACAGGCATGGCTTAATCGATTTCTTTTTTCATTCTGAGCATTTATGTATAGTACATTTGTCTATATCTATTTCGATTAGTTTTGGCTGTTACAAACAACCGTTATGCGAACAAAGTTATTATACCCTTGGGCAAAAGTGCGCTCAGGTATAAAAATTTCATAAGTTCCTAAAAATTAAATGAAATTTAAACAAAAAAAATCGTTTTAAAACATTATAGTCTAAAAATTTAAAGAGAGTTAATTAAAAAAAAAAATGAAATTAAAAAAAGGTATATATACACATAAACTTTTCTCAAAACTAAATTTGATTTAATTTTCCTTTTACAAAAATAATATCTAACAATTAAATTAAAAGAGAAAAATAAGAGAATAATATAAGATTCTAAAAATCAAATGAAATAAAAATAAAAATTTTCTAATTAAAATAAAATTAATTAAACATGAAACGGCATTTCTGGCTAAGACGGTTGAAAGGCATCACTTATTTCATTTCCACTCAGTTAATTTCATTGCATTTAGTTTAACTTCACTTCACTTTACATAATTTTATTCCTTTTTATACCCGAGCGCACTTGTGCACAAGGGTATTATAACTTTGTTCACATAACGGTTGTTTGTAACAGGCAAAACGAATCGAGATAGATATAGACAAATGTATACATAAATGATCAGAATGAAAAGAGAAATCGATTAAGCGGTGACTGTCTGTCCGTCCGTCCGTCCGTCCGTCCGTCCGTCCGTCCGTCTGTGCACACGATAACTCGAGTAAAAATTGAGATATCTTAACAAAACTTGGTACGCGGACTTCTTTTGGGCATGGGACGGATGGTATTGAAAATGGGCGAAATCGGACAATAACCACGCCTACCTCCCATATAACGGTAATTTTCAGAAATACGAAAGGTGCGATATTTTAGTAACTACTGAAGATAATTCACTCAAAATTGATATTTGCAATGAGTTCTAGACGAAAAATAAGAATATTAAAAAATTTTGGCAAATGGGCGTAGCCACGCCTACTTATGGTTACATGTGTATATCTTGGTAACCGCTGCACCAATTTCTTCCAAACTTGGCACAGTTGTTGGTCCTGCTACAACATACCAAATGGCCGAAAATTTTTAAAATCGGACAATAACCACGCCCACATCCCATATAACGGTAATTTAGAAAAATACGAAATCCTCGATAAATCAGTAAATATTAAAGCTAATTTATTCAAAATAGATGGTGGCAACAATTTTTTACCAAGAAATACGCTTATGATACAATTTTGGAAAATGGGCGTGGCACCGCCCACTTATGATCACATATATGTATCTCGCTAACCGTTCTAGCAATTTGTACCAAGCTCGGTATGGTTATTGTGCTTGCCACATAAAAGCAAACCGTTGAAAATTATTGAAATCGGACTAAATTACGACCGCTTTTCATATAACGGTATATTTCAGAAATGCTTGAAACTGCAATATTTCGAAATTTAAGCACGCTAATTTACTTAAAATTTATACACCCCGGCTTATTGTGTAGCGGTAGTTTTCGGAAAGGTGGAAAAACATATATTTAATAATTGCGCCGGGTATTTAATGTTCGGCTCCGCCCGAACTTAGACTTTCTTACTTGTTTCATTTCACTTCACTCTATTTTAATTAATTTTATGTAATCCTCTCACTTATTTTCATCTCATATCATTTGGTTTCTTTTCATTTAACTTTGTTTCATTTCCCGTTTCTTCATTTCACTATACTTCATTCACTTCATTTACTCTCATTTCATTACATATGTACACAATATTTCTCCTGACTACATTTCATTACGTTTCATTCCATTTCATTTCATTTCATTCAATCTTACCTAAATTTCATTTTATTTCATTTAATCTTATGTTTAAAGTTATGATATTTAATTTAATTTGAATTATGTAATTTCATTTCTCTTCATCATATCTCTTCATTTCATTTCATCTCATCTTGTTCCATATTATTTATGTAATTTCATCTAACTTCATTTCACTTTTTTTCATTTAATGTACTTTCAGTTCATTTCATTTGCTCTCAGTTTGTTTAATTCAGTTCTTTTTCATTTTTGACCATTTCGCTTCATTTCATTTGTACGTTCCATTTCATTTGTTTTAATTTCATTTCATCTTGTTTCAAATAATTTTATGTAATTTCATTTAAATTTTGTTCATTTGATGTCATTTCAATTCATTTCATTTTCTTTCACTTCGTTTCCTTTTCATTTCTTCTCACTCTTTTCATTTTTCCTCACTTCGATCTCATTTCATCTTGTGTCATATTTTTGGTGTTATTTAGTCTCACTTTATTTCAGTTATTTTTCAATTCATTTAATTTCCACCTTATTTCATTTAATTTGCCCTCACTTCTTTCATTTCATTTCTTTTTCATTCTCCTCTCACTACATTTTCCCTCACTCATTTCACCTTTTCTCACTTTATTTCGTTTCACTTCATTCAGTTAACTCTCATTTCATTTCTACATTTCTTTTCCACATTTTTGAACCCTTAATATTTATCCAGACAATTATAAAAGCTGACGGTTCAATATCCTGCGCCTGCATCAGCTGCTGCATTATTGTTTTTTTGCAGCATATGTACTAGTTATGGATATCCAAATATCACTGGCGGACGCTATCGAGCTAAAAGCTTTTATGTGAAAAAAAAACTACTATCTGACTAGCCAAACTGAGAATCCACCTCAATTTGTTTGGATCTACATATGTACTCTACATATGTACCTCAACTAAACGAAGGCATTTGCATGCAATAGAAAGGGTAGAACCAGCCAGCACTGCGAATGTATCTATTTGCATGTAGCGAAGTGCAATATAGTATTGAAATATGCAATCTCACACATAAATATAAACACTTTTTTCCCCATTTTTTGTTTACTCACGTGCGTGTCGCGTTTATATATTTGTATGCGTACGAATTGGTGCAACGACCTATGAAATTCAGTTTTATTAGAAATGCAACACTGCGAAGGAAACATTGCATCTCTATTTCATTTTTGCTGCTAAACTCCAACTCTAAAACCCTTTGGCTAGCCAGCTAGTTGCCTTTGTAATAAAACGGTAGCCGCAAACAAAAACAAATAAATCCTAGTTGTGTTGGTAAAAGCAATAATGGCGACATAAAAGCTTACAACAACGGCCAACACGAAGGCAACCACAGTTACTAGAATAATAGTAATAAGAATAGCAAGATTGTAAAGTTTTCAGCTGTAAATGGAAATACTGAAATATCAACCATATGCATAAAACAATGCTCATGAAAAAGAGAGCTAAGTATGAATGTGAAATGCAATACTTATTCGCGAGTTGAGTAATTCTAAAAAAAATTGCGGGTAACAATGAAAATAACAAATACC